GCAGTGGATATTCATTTAGTCTTCAAAAGTACTATGAATGCTTCTTTTGTTGCAACTAAGGATTGCTAAATTTTTTTGGGAAATATGCTCAGACTTGAACTTATACATGAGCTCAACTATAAAAATGTAACCGATGTGTTAAAATTACTCAGACAATGAATTTAGCCATAAATACATCAATCAGCGTTACATTTCAAAACTCTTGACCTAATGAAAACTGTGACATTGGAAATCATAGCAGTAAACACAAAAGTTCAATAAAAGGATCCCACAATTCAACCTGAATCTAGAAATAATGCAGAGCGCCAAATCCTCTGATTCTTCTGACCTCATGAAAGGAAACTGTGGTATTGGAAACCATGTTGCTTTTGAATTTCATCGCATCATCTCTTTGATTGGGAAAATGATATATGGCCACCCCCTCCAAATTGTGAGCATGTTCGAGAATAAACCTAGCAAACTGAACAACGTTAGACCTATGGCTACATACTTGATCACTGAAATAAAAGCAAGCTCTTGCAATTTCCAATAGTCCATATCAAACCCTGCACACAGAGAAAGGCAGCAAAACATCAAGAAAATGAATTTAGACTTTATAAAACATACCTAGCCCGCTGTAAATAAACTGCTAAATTTAAAAAGATATCAACCCAGACTTTAACTTACATGAGGTTCATAGCCTCGACGATCTACTGGCAATGACTTTATGCAGAAAGATATCAAACAAGGCATCCCTCTTAAAAGAGAGACGAGTGCAGGGACTAAGCAATCATTCAAGACACCAACTTCAACGACCAAATGACGAACACAATCTAATTGTAGTGACATGAGACGTTGCGTCGCAAAAGCCTGCAATTTTATAGAAATCAAACTAAATCAATGACCAAAAGACAATATGCGACAAAAAGATAAGTCAAATTTACTTAACTTTTTGTGTCCATTACCCTAACAATATAATCATTTAGAACAAGAGTTTTAACCCTGCTTAAGTTAGAAAGAAAATCAAATATGGCATCACAGTTTCTGCTGAAATCCCTATAACATACCAAATACTTAAGGTATGGAGCAGAAAAAGTGAACACTTTGTGGCCACAATCAGCCCATCTGATGCATATTTTCTCAAGTCTATCACCTGAAATATGAACTCTGCAATTCTGACCCTCGTACTGATTGATTCCAGAGACGAGCTTTCAATGATAACATCCCCTAAGCCAGAAACATCTTCAAGATGTAAGTCCTTCATGCATTTGCACCACTCTTTAATCCATTTCCAAAACTTCTTCTCTACTATATTAAATTTTTCTCTACAGAGAGTCCAAGGAGGGCACTTCAACAATCATACAATTCCTCTCCACAGACAGAGACACAACGAAAGAGAGAAATCAGAAACTTGGGAAGCCAATAATGCAATGTGATCTCAAGATGAACTTCTTCAACATTGCATCTCGCTACATTGTCAATCCATCAGCTCACACGTAAATTCTCATCACCACAGTAGCATGTTTTTATGAAAAAGGCATCGTAAAGATCGCCTTCTACAGAGTGGTTAGACCAACAAAAACGAAAGCATTTTATCTTATTATCCCCTCGCTGAATCAAGAACCAATCGAAAGAATCCAACACCCTTTTCCTCATGTCACATGTGGATAAATTCACGCCAGAAAACTTTAGAAAATTCAGATAAGGAGTTGACAGACAAAACCCTCTGCATCTTTTGGACACACAGCCAACTCGAGTGAGGTCTTTAAAGGAGATGAGGGAAAGAATATTATGAGCAATATCGTGTGGAAGCTTACTGAATCCATCTACAACATCAACAATTTCTTCAGTACGAGCTTGACAACTTGCAGTGTCCATTGAAAAGTAAACCACAAGTCACAAACAGGGAAAACAAAACCGCCAGGTTACTTCGATCAAAGAAATAAGAGAGGCAAATTGATTGGAACAAGAGGTTAGGGAAGTTGTAGAGTTTGTCGAATAAAATGCTATTTAATTAATATAACGTTTTGAACAATGAATCAACATAACAACAATGACTCTTCTTGTGTGATCGGTGCACACCGTTCGGTTTTCAAGAGACTCATGATTTTCATGTCCAATTAAAGTTTATTATTATTTGGCTTTTTTTTTTTTGCCAGACTTAGCTTATTTTATCAGTAACTTAATAATAAGGGGGCTGATTTTCGCAATCACTTTTTCTCTTAAAATTTGATTAAGTATGAAAAATGGACTTTCTAAATACTAAATGTTTTCAATGATATTTTTGGCGGTTTATATTCCTTACATCTTAAATAGTTAAACACAATTTTATGAGATTTTAGTATGCAAAATTCATATTTGCATCTCAAGAACTTTGATTATGCGTAGGTACAACTTACATTGACTTATTGAGGTATCAACATTGGTATAAAATGTATCTTATACTAAAACTGGATTTTCATAATTTTTGATTTTTTAGAATTTTTAATTGAATCCAAATAGGGATACTTCCTTATTTACAATGTGAACTTAAGTAATAATATAAAAATAAATTAAAGTAAAAAGACAAGTCATTTACTTAAATGTTTGGGATGAAAATAAGGCAATATAAGGCAATGGGCGGGCCTACTTGAGCCGGGCCATGGGCAGGCCAAAGGCTTCAAATCCTAAGCCCAAGCTCTACTCAACCTAAGAACGGGCTGAATCGAGCGGGCCTAACCATCAAGTTGGGCTGGGCTTGTAGGGCTTTGGCCTAGCAGACCTCGAGCTACCTACTTCGACCTGCGGGCCGCGGGCCAAATGATAATCCCTAACCCTCTGCATCTTATGTACGAGAGGTCTTGGTCCCCTTTGGTTGACCACGCGTTGGTCAACATTTAACTTGGAGATGGCTTTGTCAGAGCGGTTTCGCTATAGTAACCGTTGGGCCACTGTCTAAGCCATTTAAGTTGGCTTCGGCTGTTGGGCATTAGATATTTAACCATTAAACTGGCCCAATAGGTAAGAAACTGGCCCATGCTAATTTTGGTCCAAACACTATTAGTTTTCTGGTCAAAATCGAAACAAAAACTTCCATGGAACCCACAGCTGAAGGAGCTTCTACAAATCACATGGTCAATGTAGGCAGATTGAGTGCTCTTCCACAAGAAATTACTCATAAAATCCTGTCATGTCTTCCCATATCAGACCTCACTCGAGTTGGCATTTTGTCCCACAGATTCAGAGCCCTTTACTTATCAACTCCCATGTTAAACTTCACTGAATTTCCCTCAGATTTCATACGCACATTGAACAAACGGTTGGAGTTGTTGACTTCCTCGGACCGGTTCTTCATTCGTCGTGGCCAAAACAAGGTACAAAGCTTTTCTCTTAGTTGGTATTGTAAGTGCCATTCAGGGGATTCTGAAATAGAAACTCGCGGCTGTGTTGAGAAATCTCTAGTTATGGCTTGGTTTGAGAAAGCAGTGAATTATAATGTTGAAAAGCTCGATGTTTCCGTTTCAAATCAGTGCAAGTGCAATGCAGAGTTTCCTGCTTGTGTGTTTGTTTGTGGGTCTCTGAGGTCTCTATCTGCAACCGTGAGCAGTGCAGCTCTTAAAGCTCCCATCTTTTCTACCTGTTCTATCTCTAATCTTGTGTTTTTGAGGTTGAGAAATGTTACTGTTGAAGATGAGGAGGGCTTTTGCGGATGGGTCTCATTCTACTGCAGATTCATTAAGGAATTGAGGCTTGAACGTACGAGGGGCTTAAAAAATATCAACATTCAGAGCTCGTCTTTGAAATCATGTAGGCTTCGGAGTTACTGTTAAAATCTCTGGTGAGAAACTTGAAGATATAGATATAGATTGGGACCAGCGCATGTTGCTGCTAGTTTAGCCAACGCAAGGGTGAGCCATCAAGTTTGGGTCTGTCGACCCCCTCCCTCGCTGGTGTGCATTTTGTCAAGGGATGGTCTCCCGGCGCCACCGTAATCGCTTGTAGGATTTTATACTTGCATTATTATTCTTTGGGAAGCTGCAATGCTTTCTTGAGGTTTTTTACCTATGTAATGATGTGATGTGAGTTTGGTATGGATTGTATCTGTTTGCATGGTTTCTCACGTTATTGTAATGAGAAGCATTAGATATTTAACCATTAAACACCCAATTAGACTTTGCAGAGCCAAGCAAGATGCCAAATACCCAGTTAAATCTTACACTACCCTAATCAACTCATTTCACAAAACCCCAAAGCAAAGTAATCAACAAGACTAACAGAATTTTTAAAAAGGTAAGAACAATTATTATATGCATGCATAAATGGAGCATGAAATGAGAGATTTTGCAAAATAGCAGGTTATGTAAGCAATCACTTACAGGTGATGGTGGTGGCCGCTTCTGAAGTTACAAGCACAGACCAAATACAGAAGTATTTGACAACAGTGGAGAATTCAAGATTAATAAGTAGGTTAGAACATTTGCCCAAAGTTGGTGCCTCTAGCATTTTCCATATATAATAACACATGATATGATAGCTTGCTTAATTATGTGGGTGAACCCTTGACAAATGAACATTGGAACCATAAAAATTATAATAGCATGGCAGTGGTGGTGTTTTAAATCACATCATCATTTTCTCTTGGTTAAAGTTTCCTGCTATAAAACCTCAATTACAATGAGAAATACTTACTTTGTAACGAGATTAACACTGTTCTGTTATTTCTGATGAATAATACTCAGAGTTTCAATGTGAGGGTTCAGATCTCACCCAAATAATTAAGCAAGAAATCACGTGACATTATTATTGATGAGGATCTCATTCTACTCCATTAATCTCATCTGACATCTATGGAGAGAGAAGCCTAGGGCCATGTTTCCAATGCATGCTTACATAATTGACTGGCAATTACAGCTGCTTGGTTTGTAAAGTTGATTTAACCATCATAATGATTTTGCAACAAATCCAACTCAAATGCTAGCATCGGTCATCAATGAAAAAATTAAAATAAAAAAAAGGACCCAACCCGCCTAGCCCGCCTAGCCCGATTTTTATTTTTATTTTTTTTTCGTTGGACGATATTTTGAAGAACTAGGTTCTGTTTTTATCTTATCGAATCCCTGAAAATCCACCAAACTTGCGCCGGTATAGCAAGTACTTTGATTTTTCTCCTTCCCGTTCAACTCGGTTGACACACTCAAGGAGCTTCTCAGGCGAAGCAATGGTGGTGCCTCTCTTCAACCTCGTCCCCAATCTTACCGACTCTGAGTCTGATTCTTTGGCCCTCCCTCTCATCCTCAAATATAAATTCATTCGTCGCAGGGACGATGACTTTCGGCGAGCAAAACACGTTTGCGGAGTCTTTTGGCCTCCTCAACCAAGCTTTCCAGCCAGGCATCAATTTCTTCGACAGTACAAAAATGTATCCAGTGGTTCAGCGAGCCCAGACTCAGGGTCAGGGTAGGAGCGAGGAGCGTCGTTTTGGCCACCAAGGTTGTAAAGTAGCTCTGAGAGTATCAGTTCATGCCAAGAATGGTGTGCCAGCTTGGTTTTCACTTCTGATGTGTGAAAATTTGTTCTGATATTACAGGTACCGTCTGGGAAGATGACTTCTATACGAGATGGCCCCAAGTGTTTGAAAGGCCATTGACGGCAGGTTTGGTAAAGCAAACAGACCCGCCCTGGCGCCCAGACCCTCCTAGACTCGCCCTGGCCGCCTAGGCGCCGCCTAGATCCGCCCAGACAGCCTAGGCGCCGCCTAGATCAGCCCAGACCGCCTAGGCACCGCCTAGATCCGCCCAGCCTAAAGGAGATGAGTTTGAGAACGTATTTGAGGTTCTTTGCAGTTTAAGCAGGGCTAAAGTTCTTACCCTAAATGAAGAGACCGTTAAGGTAAAGTGAACTGGAACCCTCATACTTCAGACTGATTTTTTTAATTTTTTTGTCTTTGGCAAATAACTAAAAATTTCTTATGCAATTTGAACTAAATTTTCCTATTTCTTTGTGGTATAGGGTGATATGTTTAGCTAATTTATATTTTTCTCATGTTTCATAAGATTCTGTAAAACTGTGTCAGTGCAATAATCTGTGTTGTCACATGTGTTGTATGTTAAACTGTAATATTCATACTTTGAATACAATTATCATCTTCTTGTCCACCGTCTGTACTTAATTGATGTATCAATGAGATTCTGTTTCTTAGGAAAACTGTCCCCTCTTCGTATAGTTTCCTGGCTCTGCGGCTCTGCCAGTAAGTGAGGGCATTTCTTTTGCTTTGATAATGGTCTCACTAACAAGAGTGAAAATCATATTTGTGCTATGTTTTGTTTAAAAGAGTGAAAGGAAGTTGAGAAACATGATTTATAACTTTTGCAGGCTCTGTTTCGGGGAGGATCCATGCCACCACCATTAAATAATGTTTGTTCTCTGGGTCTGCGGATTGGAAATGTTGTTGATGAGTTAGTCCCAGCTATGGTTTCTCTTTTTAGAGGAATGCCAAATTCGTGTAATATGCTCATAAATACTAAGTCACCTCTGGATGACCCTAAATCTAATGTAAGTTAACTCTGTGCTGCTACTTACTTCTCTCTCTCTCTCTCCCACACACTCACATGTTATCATTCTAGAATCAAACAGGGGCATACTCATCACGCTTTTAAAATAACGCAGTTTTCCTTTCTATTTATTTGGTTTTGACTTTTTTTGGGAATCTTCAATTGATTTGCGTGTCTTCTTTTCATTGCAGACAACTGGGTTTAATATGGGATATTGAAAGATGCAAAACCCCGCTTTTATTAATCAGCTTAAGGATGTTACCATAAAGCTTTCTGATGGGTCTAATGGAGTTGAGATAGTAAGGTATATGCTCGAGTGTGCTCAGAATTTGGAGAAAATGCTCATAATTTGATTACCCCAGAATTTGGATGACAATATGAGGAGGTTAGACGAAAGCAAGAAAATTTCCCATGCCACAGTTCTGTTCAAGGAAAGTCGAGACTTCTTACTGTGAATGTTGATGGATCAATTGTCGCAATTATTTGAGGTGCTTTCCCGTTTATCTATGGTTGAAGATCTTTTTCTAAATGACACGACCATTAAGGTAAAGAGTGTATTAATTTTGTGTTTTTCTTTTGGATCTTTTGCAACTTGAATTAATTTTTCTTGTTTCTCCATGGTATGAGACGATTGGGTTAGCTAATATTTATCTCATGCAGCAGTATTGTTGTAAGCTTGAGTTGTGGCTTTGCTTTTACATTAGTAAGGTCACACTAACAAGAATGAAAATTCATATTTATGCTATGTTTTGTTGACGAAACATGATTTGTAACATTGCAAGCTCTGTTTCGGGAATGAGCCATGCCAGCACCATTGGAGAATGTTCATTATCTAGGTTTGAAGATTGGAAGTTTTAATGATGATTTAGTCCTAGCTATGGTCTCTCTTTTTAGAGGAATGCCCAATCTGTGTGCTTTATACTTTAAGACTAAACCACCTCTGAATAACCCTGAATCTAATGTAAGTTAATGTCTGTGTTATTACTTTCTTCCTGATCATCATATTCATCATAATTTTCCTGACCATGAATGTATGTATGTATAATCATTTCTAGAATCATGAGCATTTTCATCATGTTGTTCCAATAATGCAGTTCTTTATATTTGGTTTTGGTTTTCTTTTGTTTGGGAAAACCCCAACTGATTTGTTGCTTGTCTTCTTTCCTTTGCAGACATCTGGGTTTGACATGGAATATTGGAAGATGCAAAACCTTGATTTTTATCAGCTTAAGAAGCTTACCATAGAGTGTTACAATTATGACTTGAATGGAGTTGTGTTAGCAAAGTATATCTTCGAGCATGCTCAGAATTTGGAGGAATTTGCTATATATCCCTATCAGGCGTAAATTTTAATTTTAAGAGGAAGCTATAGAAAAAGAAAGACGGTTTGGAATGCCACAGTTGTTTTTGTAGAAAATCAGAAATAGAACAGAAAAGGCTCCTTTGATATTTTTGTAGATGTTAATTATTATTTTTTTATGCGATTTGTAGAAGTTATTTGTGTGAATGCTTTTAGATTCTTGGGAGTTAAAAAAAATTAAAAGAAAAATACCCTAGTTGCATTAGTTTATACTTTATACTTTATAGATACTAATTTGCTAGTTTCAACATCCCCAAAGATACTGAAGAGAGAAATTCACAGTAAATTAATTAAGAGTTTTTTCTTCTTCTTTTTGTGTGGAATGTTTGCCTTTGGTCTACCTCGTTCTCTCAAGTGCTACTAAATTCTGTTACTTTGCACACATTATTTGTTGTAGAGAATTGCGTATTGAGTTTGAGTGTTCTTGGTAATTTCGTCACATTTCAAACAACACTTTACATGAAGAATACTACAACCTTGCATACTACTATACCCATAAATCTTTGTTTGAAATTGTTGTTTTGGTTGGCAAAGAGATTGCAAAAGCACCATCTTAGCCTATCACATTCTTTCATAGTTAGTAAAACACATAACGGAAAAAATATGAATAAAATACGTACATGTTTTATTCGGAAATATTTTGGCAAAACAACTGATAAGTTCAGCCACTATATAATATTTTAATATGTTTTATTTAATTTTTTTAATATATATTATTTGTATTCAATAATATGCGAAAATTATATGTAAAATATGTGAATTTTGTGTGTATTATTGAACATTTTGTAAAAAAAAAAAAACAAGTGTATTAACATGAAAAATACGTACATACATATACAATATGAGTATTAAACTTGAAAATGCTAAATTATTTATACATATAATAACTATGGAAAAGTACAAACTCAAAAAGGAATAAGAGACTCGAGTAATGGCCTAAAAGTAGTGGATAATGCTCTAAACTACTCTAATCCATAAACAGAAATTGGGGAAAAACAATTTAACAAAAAAAGATCACACTGTGTATGTAAAGCGTATAGCCGCCCGGCTATACCCTTTATAAAAATAAACTTTTAAAAGGACCCCAGTAATGCCGAGCGGCTATACTAATTTTAAAAAAAATCCCAAGTATAGCCGAAAGGCTATACTATTTATAAAGAGAGAAAAAAAAAAAAAAAAAGAGGCCCAGCACAGCGCCTAGCGCCCGCCTAGCGATATGGTGCCACGTGTCTAAAACAGTATAGCCGAGCGGCTATACTATTTATAAAAAAAACTAAAAAAATGACCCCAGTCGAGCCTGGCAGCTATACTCTTTTATTAAAAATATATATATAATAAGAGGACCCGCCTAACGCCCGCAATAGCGATTCGGCGCTATGTGTCAAATACGGTATAGCCGGGCGGCTATACTATTTAAAAAAATAATAAAACCGTAGTATCGCCGAGCGGCTTTACTCTTTTTATTATTATTTTTTAAAGGAACTGCCTGGCGCCCAGCGCTCGCTTCACCACGTGTTAAAAACCGTATTTTTTATAATAACAGTATAGCCTGTCGGCTATACGTTTTTATTATAAAAAAAATCCAAGTATAGCCGTCCGGCTGTACCATTTATTAAAAAACAACAAGGACCGCCTGTGCTAGCGCCCATGTTTAAAAATAGTATAGCCGCACGGCTATATACCTTTTATTATACCGTCTATACCATTTATTTTTTTTAAAAGGACGCCTGTCGCTAGCGCCCACTTCCCCTCTGGTCAAAAATACTACAGCCGCACAGCTGTAGTTCTAGTTCTTCAATCCTAGAATCAGTTTTGTCAATCGAATTCCTTCCAAGATAAGTGTTAAGAAATGAAAAAGTTATTGTATGAAATTAGTTGGTACAACAATGAATTTACAATTGAACCTCTGACCTTCAGAAGATATCTTTCCATCGAAAGTGTGGACTATGCTCTCTGTTTTTTCCCTATGAGAATAAATGGTATGTTCCAAGAGTTTTCTCTATTTTTTCCGTCCAAAGTGTGAACGTATGACGCAAAGTGGGAGCTTCTTCAACATATTTAGCAATTTCATCATTGCCATTAGCTTCTATAGAATCTCTTTGTAGGAGTCTACAAAGAAACATCTCCTCCGCAGAACATGATGGAATTGAACCTGTTGGTCTTTTTTCCTGTCAGGTATTCTTTTCGCCGAATGTCGTGATAGGCGTGCTCGGAAGAATATAGCAGCTGCTAGACCGACACCAATGCCCCGATTGTATCCTTTTGGCTTACGCAGATGCCATTTCAATCTTCAACAAAATTGAAAGTTGTATCAGGTTGACAAAAATCCAGTCCAGCCCTGTCTTGGGCTTAACTTCCGGATTCCTTCTGATTCATGGGTTCTGCTTTATAGGTGTGCCACTGTTGGATATAAGACCAGTCCAACAGACCTAGTATGAGCGAATGTGATGAGTATTTTGTGAAGTTTGCGCCTTCTTTCTGGACCTCTGTTCAAGCCATTGTGCTCCAAGTGGGGTACTGGCCTGGATTGGTTCTTTTCTATGCCCTAGTTAAGAGGACTTTAATATTCTTTCTCTCGTGTATATATCGGTCCTGGTTGGTGCGAGCAACACCTATTCAAGCAAGGGAAAAAGACAAAGTTCTCGGTCAGTAAACACCTTGCGCGGGTTTACAAACCTAAATCTGAATTTAAATATATTTATATATGAGCTAATCACAAATTCAGGCCCAACAATGTGATTTTTGGGCCCAATTGGTTTATATCCCTTAAGCCTATAAGGCCTGATTCGGGCTAAAAACCTCTTATGATCTTTCAGCTTAAATAAAATGGAAACGGGAAAATGCCTAAATATCGCAAGTATAGAGAGAAATGCAGATACAGACATAACAGCTTATTTATTCAGCTCTTAAATCAACGCCAGCAACAATAAAGATCCATGTTTATTGGTTCCAAACTATGAAATACATTATCACGGTGATCTAAGGTTTATAGCCGGCTAAATTATACAAATTCAAATTGAACATTTTCATAAGTTAGTCATACCATGAGGATGGCAGAGAAATAAAAAGATGGACACAGAAGTCGTCTGGCTATTTGAAATCCGAGCAAGTTTGACTGGAATATCTTGATTGCTTTTTTAGTGTTTTACAAGACGTTGCGTCTGGTTTTGGAGAGAGAGTCCCCTTCTTCTGTGCTGGAAGCTCTCTATTTATAGGAGCAGGGGAGGTCTTAAGTGATGATGACTGAGCGAGGATGTTTGGCTGTTGTCCAAAGTCAGCTTTCTGACTTGACGTCATGAACCGGTCCATAGTGGGGGTGATTGGACTTTCTGACGAGAACCACCGGTCCTTCGAAACAGCTCTCTGGTCTGAAGCATTTTGTACTTGGCGATTTGATATGCAAGTTGGCTTCTTACCTGGCTTGGTGGCTTCCTTAGGCGGCTGGCTTTCTTACTGTAAGAGGGAAAAGTCAAATCGTCATTAAATGTTGATGGTCCTTCTCCAACTTCACGTGGGTTTGGAACAGTTTCCGATTTTTCATTTTTCAGTAGTCCAATCGCTTTGGGCCCTCTGTTCTTGGGCTTCGGTTTTGGTCATGTCTTGGTGTTTATTTTAAACAAGAAAAGTCCTCTTGAAAAATACAACTTACGGACAACTATTGGGCTTGGGCCTTGGCCATGCTCTTTTTGGGGGGAGCTTCTATAATGAGGAGCTAATTTGAGGAGGTTATGTGAGGAGGCCCATCTCACCATCAAAAGGGGTGTGGACCCCCAAATGCACCCCCCCATGTACTTTGTTTTTGGTTATTGATGGTGAGATTTCACCTCCTCAAATAACCTCCTCAAATTAGCTCCTCATTCTAGCCTTTCCGCTTTTTGGGGAGGGAACCACTTTTGGTCCATTGACCAAAATTGGGTACAAACAGAACCTGAAAAGCACACCGGTCAATCTAATCTATATGATGTGAAGAATATAAAAAAATGAACACTAAGATTTTGATTTAGTCATCAGAAAAAATTAGGAAAAAAAAGATGAAGTAGCATAAAACAACACATGTGCTGTAAAATACCACGAGAATAATCAGCGCCATCTAAAATTTGTAAAGCATTTTGGCTTCCTCCAGTACATAGTCCAAGAAGAATTAAATCATCAACCAACTGGATATCAAAATAAAGAAATCTCCATCAGAAAAAATTACACGTCATCCTGATGGACACAATTGAGACCATGAAAAGGAAGAAACCCAACCAAACATTTAAGATAACCTGATTCCATATTTGATTCACTGTGATTAGCATTTCATCATAAGAACCTTGCTTATCCTTTAGTTCCTTAATTTTTGCTTCAAGATCTTGCAAATCATGCTTCTGTTTGTCTATTTGCTGAAGAAGTCTCTGGTTCTGGTACTGGAGAACTACTGCATCGAGCTGGGCACGTATAGTACGTACGCAAAATACAGATACATTTCAATCTACTTCCTATCTCAAATCAAAATTGAAGTGTACTTGAAATGCATTGAACTATATCAATGTGCACTCATCTAACTGCATGCATTTTTATGAAATAGCATACTAACGTCAGAAGTGACTTCATCAACTTAGAGATTAATGATGATTTACTGCCCCAATTACACAATTAATAAACAGAAACCCTCTAACCTACACCCTATACTCCAAAAATTCCAATTCTGTAATTCATATCCCTTTTCTTACACTTCCTCAACAACCAAACAGAGCATAGTACAATTTTTCACATTCACAAAAGCACATCCAAAGCAGAAATTGCCCAAACTCCAATCACCCATCAATCACAGTAATTTAAAAAGATAAAAACACTTTTTTCTTAAACCAAATAATTTGATCAAAATCATTTTTTCCGTCAGTAACCAAGCAGACTGTAAATAGAGAGAGAGAGAGAGAGAGAGAGAGAGAGAGAGAGAGAGAGAGAGGAGAAGTGGTGGAGCGAAAGTGAGTTTAAATGAGGCCTCTTCTTCTCTGGCTCGTCAGAGTCTGAGTTTTCCATTTATCGTTGTTATGGTGCTCTTTACGGAACCCACCGCACCATTACAGCTCTTAGGTTCCGAGCTCTTTCCGTCAAGAGCAAAAACCTTAGAAGGACTGATAGCGTTTCCGCAGGTACGACTGGGAGCGGGAGAGAGAGCTCGTTGTCGACACGACGTCGTTGAGAGATCACAAGGAATTCATTTACTATCGTCAAAATTAAAGAAAAACTTCGGTGGTGCACTTAGTGCCACCTCATCCATGCCAAGTGGCACTAGTGTCCAATAAAAACAGGCCACATGTACACACACTCCAGAGTCAAGAACCTGAAAAACATTATAAATAAAAAAAACTTTAAACGACTCTTTTATACGAGTATTAAACATGAAAATGCAAAATTATTTATACTTTATACGAGTACTGGAAAAGTAAAAACTTAAAAGCGGACAATGGAGACTCGAATAATGGCCTAATAGTAATGGATAAGGCCATAAACTAACCTTAGCAAAAAACAAAAATCAGATAATGGCTGCTCGGCCATACTATTTATAAAAAAAGATCCCCGTAAAGCCTCACGACAATACTCTATTTATAAAATTAAAATAAATAAATAAAAATGAGGACCCAACTGGAGGCTAGCCCCCTCTAAACAGTATAGCCGCCCGGCTATACTATTTTTCTATTAAAAACTGTAGTATAGCCGAGCGGCTATACTCCCTTTATTATATAAAAAAAAATCCGAGTATAGCCGCGCGACCATACTTTGAAAAAAAAAAAGGGGGGGTTTCACTAAAACACCCAAAATGGGGGCTGAAATTATAAAAAAATCCAACACCCAAAACACTTTATAAACACACCCAAAACCCATCATTACACACACTCAAAACTCATTTACAAACACACCCAAAAAATATACAATTGTTGATTTTGGGGTTGATTTTGGGTGTGTTTCTATGTTTAAATAGTGTGTGAGTTTTTTTATAAATACATGTCTAGGATTGGGTTTATTTATAATAATCTAAATAAATAAAAACATGAGGACCTGCTGGTGCCTAACGCACGTGTCAAAAAAAGTATACCCGCGCGGCAATACTTTCTCATAATAAAAACCTTAGTGTAGCCGTGCGGCTATACGTTTTTATAATAAAAACCTTAGTGTAGCCGCCCGGCTATACTATTTATAATTAAAAAAAGGACCACCGCCTGGCGCTTAGCGCCGGCTTCGCCATGTGTTTTATTCAGCAATATTTTGGCAAATCACAACTGATAAGTTCAGCCACCATATAATATTTTAATATGATATATTTAATATTTTTTATATATATTATTTTTATTCAATAATATGCGAAAATTATGTGTATAATATGTGAATTTTGTATGTATTATTGAAAATTTTGTAAAAAAAAAGTGTATTAATTGTCACATTCCGGGATCGGCTCCACTGTAGCACGATATTATCTGCTTTGGGCCCCCCTCTCTGCCCTCACGGTTTTGTTTTTGGGAGCTCACGAGCAACTTCCCAGTGGGTCACCCATCATGGGATTGCTCTAGCCCCCAACTCGCTTAACTTCGGAGTTCCCACGACTCCGAAGCCAGTGAGATCCCAAAAGGCCTCGTGCTAGATGGATGCAGGCATGTACATATAAGGCACTTCAACCCCCTCTACGTTGGTCGATGTGGGATCTTACATTAAACATGAAAAATATGTACGTACGTGTACAATACAAGTATTAAACGTGAAAATGCCAAATTATTTATACCGATAATAACTCTGGAAAAGTAAAAACTCAAAATGCGACAATAGAGACTTGGGTAATGGCTTAATAGTAGTGGATAATGCTTAAACTACTCTAATCCATAAACAAAAATCGAGGAAAAATAATTAACAAAAAAAGATCACAATGTCTATGTAAAGTGTATAGCTGGCTATACTAATTTTGTATTATAAAAAATCCTGAGTATATTCGGGGCAACTATACTATTTTAAAAAAGAAAAAGAAAAAAAAGAGGACTAACTTAGCACATTGCGCCCGCCTATTGATTCGGTGCCACGTGTCAAAAATAGTATAGCCGCACAGCTATTTATAAAAAATAAAAAAATAAAACAAATGACCCCAGTAAACCCCCGCGGCTATACTCATTTTGCAAGAGGTGATGGTTGGGCATATGTCATAGATGGGACCAGTCAGTGTCTGTTTGGAGTTTTTTTGTATTTAAGAAGATGGTCGGAGGATGGGGCGGGTCTATGGGGGAGAGAGAGAAAGAGGAGGAGGAGAAGGAGAGAGTGGGGATTTCATTTTTTTCTTTTGTCTTTTTTGTTTTAAAAAATTTTAATTTTATAATATTTTTAAAGAATTTTTTTTTTTTAACACATCAGCATAAAAAAATCTAACGGTGAAGTTGACGGAGGACGTAATTTGGTGAAATTTGAAAATGTTGGGTATGAATTGATGAAATTGAAATCTCAGAGCCCATTTCGATATGTCACTTAAACCTTGAAGAGGTAAACTGTCGTTAGTCCTTAAATATATCATATGTACTAGGGTTTACTACTGAAATACCCCCTGAACTTGTAGCTCACTTTCAATTAGCCCCCTATCCTTTTTTTTTTGAAAATTAAGGATATAAACTTTTTTTTTCCGCCAATTTCCCCCATGCCGTCTAAACTTAATACATGCCATCCAATTTGCCGTTAAATATGAGGGTAAATTGGTCATTTCAATGTGAAAATAAAATAAAATAATTTAATATTTGAAATAATAATATAAATAAAGTTATAAAAACCTAAACCCTAATAAATAAAAAACCTCACCTGCCATATCTCTCTCTGTCTCTTTGTCTCTCTACCTCTCTCCGCAATCCCTTCTATCAACCACAACCATAGACATAAACGCAGCAAAACCCCAAAAATCAACCCTAAGACAACGTCGTTCCCGATGACAAACGCAAACCTGAAACCTTCTGTGGTCCCCCCTCTATGGAAGACCAGCCCTCTGCTCATACTTCAGGTTCGAGTTCTCTTCCTGCAACCATGGGAGTGGGTGCCGGTATGCCCACAGCGGAGCGCAGCTCCGGCCCCAACCCGACAACACGTGGGACTCGACCTCCAAGCTCGCAAAGAAGCAACAGTTGGAGGAGGAGGACGGTGCGAATGGGTTTGGGTCTGTGGGTGGGAATAAAGTTTTCTTTTTTGTTTTTTGGATGTGAGGGTGGGTTGTGTTTGGGGAAAGGGGTGGGTTACTGGCTGCTGTGATGGCATTGGAATGGTTGGCAGCCACACCCAGCCCTACATCTTCCCGAATACCTCTGACAAATAATACACCCAAACCACCACAACCACCATCATCTTCCCAACCCCCTTCTTCCCCCAAACTTCCATGGGTGTCTTGATAAGTTTTGGGATGAGAGAGAGAAGGGGTCGAGCATGGGATGGTTGGGGGCTGGAGTTGGTTTTGGTGGAAATCAGAATGAGAATTTTCATGTGGGAGAGAGAGTTGCTGTCAGCACTGGATGGGTTGGGACTTTGGGTACCTGCTTTGGTTTTTCTTCCATTTTTATTTTTATTTTTATTTTTCAAACTTTTTAAGAGTGAAAAGTTTGAATCAGGTGGATGGGGTTTGACAGAGGATGGCATGAGAGAGATTGAGAAGAGTTGGGCCATAAATTTTTTTTCTTCTCTTTTTTTTAATTTTTTCCAAAAAGAGAAATTTATTTATTTTTAATGATTTAACAGAAAATTGGATGAAATGTTGATGATCTAGACGGCAGGGGGGAAATTGGCGAAAAAAAGAAGTTCATATCCTTAATTTTCTAAAAATAAAAATAGATATTTATAAATAAACCCAATTCTAGACATGTATTTATAAAAAAAACCCAAACACTATTTAAACATAGAAACACACCCAAAATCAACCCCACAATCAACAATTGTATATTTTTTGGGTGTGTTTATAAATGAGTTTTGAGTGTGTGTAATGATTGGTTTTGGGTGTGTTTATAAAGTGTTTTGGATGTTGGGTTTTTTTATAATTTCAGCCCCCATTTTGAGTGTTTTAGTGAAACTCCCAAATAAAAAATAGGGGGCTAATTAAAAATTAGGTACAAGTTCAGGGGGCATATCACTAGTATACCCTATGTACTGGGTACTAGTTAAATCCTGAAATCTCTCAATTCTCTTTGTTTTCCCCCAACACAAAGATAACTTGAAGAAAATGGAAGTACTAAGGCCCCGTTTGGTTCACGGAATGGATTTGAGGGGAAATCAATTCCCATGTCATTTCCCAAGGAATGGGAATGAAAGATTCCTTTCCCACGTTTGGTAATGTTGGGAAAGTAATCGGGAGATTTCACTTTGTTTCCTTTCCCATGTTTGTTTTGAGTAGGAATGGAAAACAAAATTTGTATAATTTTCCAATTATACCCATATTAAATCAAATAAAAAAAGAATGCATTTAATGATACGTTGTAATTATAAATTGTTCATAGGGACAAAATAGTCATGAAAATTGTGCATTGAATGTTGGCACATTTTCCCAAACTTTCCCATGAGGAGGGAAAGCAAAACCCAAGTTAAGAGGGGGGCATCACTTTCCCCCCTACTTTCCCATGTGCCAGGAATCCGTTTCCCATTCCCGGACTTACCAAACATGGGAAAGCAATTGAATTCCCATTCCTATGCCTCCTTTCCCATGAACCAAACGGCCCCTAAAGGTGAAGTTACAAGATCGGGTTGATACGATAGATAGATTCCCACAAAAAAATAAAAATTAACGCGTGAAAGAAAATGTGTGGGCTCCCCAATAAAAAACGGTGCCAAATGCATGATTTTCCGCCACCTTTTTTATCACTCACAATCATTTCCCCCTTTTTTTTAACAGAAAAAGATTTTCCAGGCTGTCTCTGGGATAATTCCAATTTTCATAAACTAATTTTAATTTCCCAATCATATAATATTCAATGGTGGGATTATTCTAATTTTGTCCCTTTTCGCCGTATCTTCCCACTTTAATTTTTTTTTAAACTATTCCTCTGACCCTCTCGATAATACTTCCGTCTTAAGATTCTCGCTTCCCCTTTCTCTCTCTTCTTCATATTCTCCCATCTGATTTGACCCAAGAAATATCCCTATTTAGTGGGACCTGTCTAATTGTTATTGTCTAGTGGGACCTGTGTTAATGTTCACCGCTTCTTGTTCGTTGAACTCATCTTCTTCGCCCTGTAGTTGCCTCTGCAACTAAAAACTTTTTTAAGACTAGGCTGCTTGGAATGTATAGGTAGGGGAAACTTTAAAAAAAATTGGGTCAGGCTCCAGCCCTACCTAGACAGGGCTGAGTCCGTGCATGAGAGTGAGGTACATCAACAACATGTAGACAAAGCCACGAAAGGCCAAAATACCTTGGCCACAATGAGAACAATGAGAATTAAGGATAATGAATGAATATTTTTCTTTCAGCATTGCTTTCAAACTTGTTATAAATTTGTCACTATACTTTCGTGAACGTCAATTACTTTGAATTTCTTATAATTTTTGCTTTTCGTGAATTTGTGGTGGGTGTCTTTGGAAGCAAAATAATTTCTGTTTTTGTCTTACATGTTACTTTTCAAAGAGAATCTTCTTCCATCTAGAGAGATACTCCTTTATATTTCCATTGAAAAGCATATATATATATACAGCTTCCTTCTATTGAGAGACACTCTTTAGGGTACTCTACGAATTTTTTTTCAACAATCCAAACTATCTATTTTTTAAATCTTCATTTATAGATCATCCTTGCAAAATATTAGACAAATCGAAAACCGTTTCGATATCTAATTGTGTCCTACAAAATCAATAAACATGATGCTTCAAGAAAGTACTAAAATTTCAATAATTCAATTGAGTAGTTAAATGATATCGAATTTAAATGATTTTTTTGCAGAGATGATCTTTGAATGAGTATCTACAAAATAAACGGTTTGGATTAGTGAAATACAATACGAAGTGGGCCCTACAAAGGTATATATAATTTATTAGTTACTCCAGAAGACAAGGATCTGAGGAAAGATAGAAATTCTTCCATCATTTGGCAAAATAAAAGAAAATAGTGTTGGGAAGAAAGAGTGACTAATACATGTGTTGGAAAAATATATGAATCTATAACACAAGTTCATACAGAAGTATGGAAGCCTATAATAAAAGTTTATACAAGTTTATTAAAAATCCGGGTAAAACCTATAGGAATTATACAATTCCAGAAAATCTATCACTTAAAAAAAATCTTTCAAAATCGTATACAATCCTAATTCAATACACCCCCTAGACTCTCACAAAAGGAGGGAACTAACTCGCACAAGAATTGAACTTAAAGAAAAACTGAAAACTTAAAAGACAACTCGCGCACTACAACTTCTGGGGAGTTGTCGTACTCTATCCACAATTTGGAATTCAAACATTTGGTGTCCCACCATTATTGTCGACAAATATTTGTATCTTTTTCATACTTTTTTCTCGCTTCTTGAGGAACCTTTTGAACCAATACGTCGAAAGTTTTGAGTATCTTTTTAGATCATCTTCAAAATCCACATAGATGATACCAAACCGAACAGTGTATCCATAATTCCATTCAAAGTTGTCCAATAATGACCATGCAAAATATCCTTTCACTTTAGCACCATTTCTGCAAACAAACAAAAAAAATTCAAATGTATTGATGTCAATGTAATGTTTAAATAACGAAAATCTAAGACGACTATACCTTAGATGGCCTTGAATAATTTCTTAAATAGGCACTTACTTAATGGATGCGTGTAGGTAACAAAGGTGACGACAGTAGTAGTCAATTCTATTGGTATCATTAAGAGCTTCTTGAAGTGATACTTTGGGATCATTGAACTCATCAACGCCTACAATATAATGCATTATAATATGCATTGAATTTTAAATTTAGATGTTATAACACTTCACTTTATTTCACACCATCATATAAATGTGAAACATTAATGATGCAATTAATAATGACTTAAAATTATTAATTACCATTCTCAGTAATGTAAATGATTGGATCATTATACTTCTCTTTTATGTAGAGTATAAGATCGTGAATTCCTTTTGGATAAACATATAACCAATCTGAAGCAGTCTGCAATCCAATTTGAAGATAATTGACATTTTATGAGTAATTTGTATGTGAAAAACAATATATATTAATCCTCCAAATACTAATAGTTTAAGCTAATAATTTGAGTGCACCTGTGGACCAATAGGAACCCCATTAAGCTCAGCTGTCAAAACATATACGCATATGAATATTAGAATCTAATTATTCCAAGAATTTAATTCATTGCTCAAGGTAAGTATTCAATTTGAACTCACTTGTAACATTAACATGAGGATCTGTTACGTAGCTTGTATGTAAATAAATAATATCAGATGCATCACTTGCATATCTAGCAGAATAGTAATTTATTCCAATAAAATCAAATGACCCATTTAGCAACTTGGATTGTTCTTCTGTGAATTTTGGTAATCTTTCTCCAACAATTGATCGCATGCTGTGCGGATAGTCACCAGTGGACAATGGGTCCATACACCTACAAAATACGTAAATTCATAAATAAAACATTTAATTTAGTAGATATATAAATTAACATTATACTTGCCATCCAAACATAAAATCCAAAGATCGAAATGCAGCATTTATATCTTTTGTTGCCTCTGAAGCAGGCTCAAACCAGTGTGAAGCCAATGTTATTCCTATCGAGCCATTTTGAAATGCCTATGCAAGAAAATTCAATAATTTTTTTAATGATTTAGAGTGAGGAATATTTTCAATTAGGACCGCAATATTCATACAAAAAGAAAAAGATTTAATTGGACCTGATAATCATCTTTATACAATCTTACAACGACTGCATGAGCAAGGAGTTGATGGTGTGTCACCAAATATGGTTCAGTGCCCGAATTTCCGCCAGTGCAATTTAGGTTTTGCCAAGCAGAGCATCGTCCTGGTGCGTGGCACCCAAGTGCGTAACCATGGTGACTAACGGTATATGGCTCATTCAATGTGATCCAATGTTTTACTCGATCGCCAAATTCCTTAAAACAAAGTTCTGCATAATCTCTAAAATGATCGCTGTATATGGTATGTAGATGTTATTATAATATGTATTTAATTAAATAATCAATATTATATACTGAGGATAGAATTTGTTCACTCACACAATCTTAGGGCTTAAGAAACCACCATATTCATCCTCTAAAGCTTGTGGAAGATCCCAATGAAAGATTGTTACAAATGGTTTTAGACCTATATATATATCATGAGTAAAAGCCAATTAAAACTTTGACTAAATGATGTTTTTAAGTGGTTGAAGTATCAATCATTAATCATGTAAGGTGAGATGACTCGCCATTAAGTAGGAGTTCATTGATGAGATTGTTGTAATATTTGATTCCATCCTCATTCACGCCCCCACTTAGCTTTCCATCTAATAATAAAAACAAATGCAACAAATAAGGAAACTCAATCTATAAACAGTAAAATTGTTAAACTGTATATTCATGGCCTTACTATAGCTAATTTAATTCGGTTCAGTTCTTTCAGTGATCAATTATTTTAATTGAGAACAAAATGTTGGTTATTATATTGTAGACAACAGAGAGTTATTATCAAAGTTGAAAAATAAAGGGAGCAACTGTTGTAGCAAAAAAAGAATTGTTATGTATAATATTGAGGATGAATCAACCTACTTGGTAATAAATTGGACCATGAGATAGAAAACCTATAAGCATCCAATCCCGTATTCTTCATAATCGCCACATCTTCCTATATAATGACCCATAAGGTATACATATAGTTATAAGAAATAAGCTACAAGTTAAAGATCTCATATTCAATGTCATGTGCCCTTCCACTTCAAGTAGAGGTCTAGAGATAAAATTATAACCTTATAGCGGTGATATTGATCAACAGTGACATCTCCATTACTGCCATCCACGATCCTTTCTGTATTTGTACATTGAAAATTAATTATTTAAATCATAGAGATCCAAAAAATTATTTCATGCAAACTACGATGTATATACCATAAAGTTTTTTTTTCCAATTCATGACTCAATTACACCATAAATTGAACTCAATGCACCAAGACTTTTTGAAGTTATCTTATTTTGACTAATTCATTGCTTGATTAGACAGACCTGAATGGTTGTGGGTGTAGGTATCCCATATACTTGGTCCTCTACCCCCTTCTTTTACGGCACCTTCGTACTGAAATGGACATGCATAGTACATACAGAATTAACATGTACATATTCATGCATGCATGTGGAAACTAAAATGAATCCCAAGTAGTTATATATAAAACACTAATTAAATGGTAATTATTAATAAAGGCCCAAGAAGGAACTGACCTGGTAAGCTGCCGAGGTTGTGCCAAATATGAACCCTGGTTGGAGAGCATCGAAACTGCTCCTATTGAGTACATTGAAAATTAATTATTTAAATCATAGAGATCCAAAAAATTATTTCATGCAAACTACGATGTATATACGATAAAGTTTTTTTTTCCAATTCATGACTCAATTACACCATATATTGAACTCAATGCACCAAGACTTTTTGAAGTTATCTTATTTTGACTAATTCATTGCTTGATTAGACAGACCTGAATGGTTGTGGGTGTAGGTATCCCATATACTTGGTCCTCTACCCCCTTCTTTTACGGCACCTTCGTACTGAAATGGACATGCATAGTACATACAGAATTAACATGTACATATTCATGCATGCATGTGGAAACTAAAATGAATCCCAAGTAGTTATATATAAAACACCAATTAAATGGTAATTATTAATAAAGGCCCAAGAAGGAACTGACCTGGTAAGCTGCCGAGGTTGTGCCAAATATGAACCCTGGTTGGAGAGCATCGAAACTGCTCCTATTGAGAGAGTCACAATGAATGGGTAGATCATCTGTATTAGCAGCTTTGTTATTTGTAAATGCAAAGCCAACGAGTAGCACTAGAGATAAGACCAAAGAGCCTAAATGCATTGCCATAAGTGACTATAAAAAAGAAGGAAAAGGCTGGAGGGTTTTTGGTGGCTCTCTCCCTGCCACATATTGCTTGAGTTTATATAGACGGAATACGTATATTTATGGAATTATAATTATGTCAATAAACACATATCAAATGTTGAGAAGGGTGGTTATAGTACATCTTGGGTTAAAGTAATGAGAAAAAAAAAGATATTTAATGACAAAAGAAAAATGATATCATCATGACTTTTTCATTATCAAATAAGATAATGAAGGGTAACCAATAGTCAACTAGTCACAGTGTAACATTGTGGGTGAAAGCTCCTCCCTATGAGCTTGGAAGGAGAGTGAAGCAACAATCCTGCTGTACATCGCCATCATGTGTCTTCTTCAAGTTTGAACGCTCGTGAATTAGAATTCAAAGCGTGTACGTAAATGGAAATTTGAAAAAGTGGAGCTAATTGGGACAATTATTAAACGAACCAAAGAAAATATCGCAAAACAGACCAAAACAAATCGTCCATTTGAACCAAATCGAGCACACTCCACTCCACTAGCCACTCCATCATCACAGCTTTGTTGAGGAATATAATCTGTGTCACTTCGACAAGAGGGTAAAATTGAGAATATAGGTTACTTTGATAGCTTTGGCATTGGGTTTCTGAGTCTGAAGGTTGGTTTTTCTTCGTGGCTTTGGATATTTTTTAGGTTCATTTTTTGGCACCTTAAAGAACGAATAAGAGTGTGAATTCTTTGAAGTTAAGTCTTTTTCAATCCTGTACCCAAAAGACAAAAAAGTCTTTTTCAATCATTTCTAGATTGATTCCTGATAGCAGTATGGATTCTTTATATATTCTAGGGATTTTTCTGGGGAATCTCACGCTGGCTGGCGTGAGGGATCCAACTTCTTAAACTTAAATTGCTTAAAATATAAATAAAACATTAAAATAAAGACTAACTCAAAACAGCATCTTTTTGACCAGGTCATTAAAAACAAAGGTTAATTTCAATTTAAGTTTAAGCAGTTGGATTCCACATATGCTATCTCAACAATTAATGGAAATTCTAACGGTAAGACTAACGTTGGAACTAGATTGCAAAAAATTGAAAAACCTAGGACATGAACTGTTGAGCAACTTGATTGGGACATTTCATTAAGTTCGTCCACAAAGCTTCCATGGGGTCACTTGATGGGGTTACCCACCTCGACACTTCTCCACCCTACAACAATGATGTACACAAATCCTAGAATTATAATTCCTTATATTCCTAGGATGTAGTTGTTATTTAAACCTTTCTCTTGTAGGCCAATCGAACAGATTGAATTTGAGAATTTATTCATAAAACGCAGCTAAGTTTAGCCGCAACTTGTGAGTGTTCGTTCTATATTTCTAGTGTTGGTTTAGTTTCGTTGGAGGTTCATGTTTGAGATACCATCTCCCCATCAGGTAGTTTTAGGATATCTTTTATAATTAATTAGTTTACTTTTGGATCAAGTAGCCTTGGTGCCCGAGTCTTGTAAAGCCTATGAATAAGGCTAATGTAATAGTTGTAGGGGTTGATGTTGATGATTAATGAAATAGTGTATTTGTGGCATGGCTTTGCTACAGTATATGTGAGTTTGCACTAGCCCTAGATTTCGGCGCTCGTGTATGTGGTGGTGACCTATGTCCGAACCCCGATCCTCATCAGATTGGTTGATGGATCAGTCAAGACACCCTCATCCAATGACCCAAAATTCCCACTGTGGTAGCGCTGCAATGATATGGTTTTGTCATGGATCTTGCACTCCGTTCATCCTGACATAGTGGTGCTCGTGTATGTGGTTGGTGACCTATGTCTGAACCCCGATCCTCATCAATTGGTATCAGAGCTACGGCTCAAGATCTGCTTTCTTAGGGAGGTTTTTGGATGGAGGGTCGTGTTGACAACTACAACAACATGGAGGAAATTAGGAGGATGCTACGGCAACTTACGGAACGCATTGCTCGCATTGAAGCTCGAACCTAGATAGGTAAGAGTTCTGACGGGGAGGGATGTGTGAACCCTTATTTGAACCGAGTAGCTCGCATCGACACTCTAAGCTGTGGGACTCTCAACGGGGAGTACGAGGGAGATAGCCCTTTTCATTATTGCGCTCCGCTATGTGAGTCAAGTGAAGAGGGGCACAATTATTCTCATTGTGTCTTTGAAGGTATAAATGGATTTGGTAATTTGGTGCATCTTGTTATTTATCAAAGTTATTAAATTTGGATTTACCTCCAATATTTGATCCTTGCAACTATGAAAATTGCAATGAAAATTGTTTGGGTGTTTAAAGCAATTTTGATAAGCAATTTATTGATTAGAACAGTGAAGAGATGAGAATTGAGAAAACTTTCAAAGATATTATTGATTTTATGGGCATGAATATTTTCACTTGGAAGGTTGCCAAAACTCTGGTTGATTTTGTCAATCAGTTGAACATTCTAGAGAAAAAACATTTGCATTGTTAGAGGGAGTAAGAAGAAGCCGAGAATAACGAAATATTCCAAATATCTTTTTATTTGGAAAGGAAGGTTTCAATTGGATGCTAAAAGATCCAGAATTAATATGAAGCAATTGAAGATTCTATTCGGATTTTCCTCAATCAAAGGCTTGAATTCAAGGACGAATTCTTTCCAATCAAGGGAGTTTGATGCAGGAGCATAGGGGTGGACCAAGATAGATATTTACCATTTAATTAGTTATTTCATGATATATTGTTATTTTCTTATTTAGGTAGTTTAAGGATATCTTTTATTATTTAGGTGTGATTTTATAATTAATTAGTTTACTTTTGGAACAAGTAGCCTTGGTGCCCGAGTCTTGTAAAGCCTATAAATAAGGCTAATGTAATAGTTGTAGGGGTTGATGTTGATGATTAATGAAATAGTGTATTTGTGGCATGGATTTGCTACAGTATATGTGAGTTTGCACTAGCCCTAGATTTCGGCGCTCGTGTATGTGGTGGTGACCTATGTCCGAACCCCGATCCTCATCAGATTGGTTGATGGATCAGTCAAGACACCCTCATCCAATGACCCAAAATTCCCACTGTGGTAGTGCTGCAATGATATGGTTTTGTCATGGATCTTGCACTCCGTTCATCCTGACATAGCCAGCAGTGTTCTCTATGCTAAAACAGCGGCTGCTGTTTGGACTGATCTTCGAGATTGATTTTCACAGAGCAATGACTCTAGAATTTATCAGATTCGACAAGAAATTGTCGAGTGTCGACAAGGACTGCAAACAATCTCCATCTATTACACGAAATTGAAAGCTCTTTGGGATGAGTTAGCCTCATACCAAGAGCCTTTTACCTGTGATTGTGAAGGGATGAAGAACCTTGCCGAGAGAGAAGAAAAAGAAAGAGTGATGCAGTTCTTAATGGGCTTGAACGACACCTACTCCTACGGTTCGAGGATCGATTCTGATGATAAATCCCTTGCCTGATACGCGCAAGGTTCACGGTCTGGTTCTTCAGCATGAGCGCCAGGTTGAGGTGACTAGGTGGAATGATAGTCTGATCACTCCCCATGCAATGCAAACCGGTCGTTCCTCGGTGGCTGGATCTTCACAACCACACAAATCCCTGAAGTGCACATACTGCGATGGAGATGGACATACGAAAGAACGCTGCCACTTCATCATTGGTTTCTCTATGGGTCATAAATGGCATGGGAAAAATGTCAAGCCCATAAACCAACGTTACAGCCCAACTGCTCACAATGTTGAAATTCATCAGTAACCAACCAAACATACTGACA